GAAACACTCGGATGCCCACAGCAGGAGAATGAGCGCATTGGTGGAGGTTTATTCACAGAGTAGAATACTACACAGCAGTGAGAGAATGGTCCACAATGACATGGCAGCCTGGATGAATCTCAGGAACCTAATGCTGAGTGGAAAAAAGAGTAAACACTGCGATTCCACATATTTAAAGAACAAAAACAGGCATAACTGTTAGGCCACTGTTAAGATGGTGGTTACTCTTGGGCAGAAGGACATGGTGACAGGAAGTGGGCTTAAGCAGGGTTTTAGGGGGTCTAGTGATGCTCCTGGTTTTTTTTTTAATCTTCACCTGAGGAGATACATATTTAAATTGATTTGAGAGAGAGAGGAAGGGGGAGAGAGAAATATTAATGTGAGAGAGAAACATCGATCAATTGTCTCCCATATGCACTCCGATTGGGGATCAAAACCACAACCTAGGTAAGTGTCCTGACTGGGAATCGAACCCATAATCTCGGTGTACGGGATGACTCCAACCAACTGAGCCACCCGGCCAGGCCAATGTCCCATCTCTTGATCTGGGTGCTGGCCGTGTGGGTATGTTCAGTCAGAAATTTATCACATTATCCACTTAGGATTCATGCCCCTTCCCAGATTATCACCCATTACTAACAAGTAAAAAAAGCTGAAATAGGTATTTTAGCAATGGGGAAACAAGCACAGAGTGGGAAAGGCCTGTGCCCTGACGGGGAACTGGCGACCTTTTGGTGCATGGGACGATGCTCAACCAACTGAGCCACACCAGCGAGGGCTCCAGGTCTCTGCTTTTAACCAGACATGTCCTGCCTCCCACTTCCCCCCTCCCCCAGAGTCGGCCATGGAGAGAGACCGCTACATGAGCCCCATGGAGGCCCAGGAGTTTGGCATCTTAGACAAGGTTCTGGTGCACCCACCTCAGGATGGTGAGGACGAGCCTGAGCTAGTGCAGAAGGAGCCTGTGGCAGCAGCGACAGCAGCAGAACCTGCCCCAGTGAGCACCTGAGTGGACCTCACCCTTGGGAGGAAAGTTGAGTGGCCAGAAGCTACAGCTGCTGCACTGTCCGCTCCTTGCTGCTGAGCCTGGAGGAGCCCCTTGAGGACCTTTGGACTTGGGTGTACCCTAGTGGCGGGTATCCTGGCTGAGACACTGTGATTTTAAATTAAATCTTTGTAGTCTTTGCTCCCCTTCTGTGGCTCCTTCCTTCCCCTCTTCACCACCATGCAAGTGTCTATGCTTCATAAGGCCCTTCTGCTTTGGCCCTAACCCTGAGGCTCTAATCTTCGGCTCCTGAACTTCAACAACCTGGACTGAGCAGATACACCATTCCACGCACTGTTAAGGCCTTGAAAGAAGGTGACACTTGAGCAAAGATCTGAAGGAGGTGAGGGAGGGAGCCATGTTGCTATCTTGGGACCTTGGGACAGAGCAGTCCAGGCAGAGGGTATAGTGAGTGTAAAAGCCCTGAGGCAGGACTGTGCCTGGCACCTGGGAGGAACCATAAGACTAAAGAAGATTAGAGCAGAAAGGGGAGAAGTACAGATTTCAAAAGGCCTGGTAGATCTTAGCAATGAGGGAGATAAATTGCAGAGGGCTTTGAGGAGAGGAACAAAAAGAAGCATGACTATGGCCCCCATGGAGATGTGGGAGAGCAGGAAGCTCAGAAACGTGGAGGCCGGTTAGGAGACTATTGGGATAATCCAGGTGAAGGCTGAAGGCCCAACCAGGTGTGAGAAGAGGTCAGATTCCAGCCAGGTTTTAAAGGCAGGGCTGACAGGTGGAATGTGAGATTTGAGAAAGAAAGTAATCTTCACAAACTCCAAGGAATTGACCCAAAGCAGCTGTAAAGATGGAGAGTTGCTAACTGAGATGGCAAGGCTGGCGGGAGGAGCAGGTTTGAGGGCCACGATCAGAAGCTGCTTTTGGTCATGTTATATTTGATACTGGATGAGCCTCAGACATCCCAGGGGATGGGTAAGTTGTGGGTCAGGGTTGGAAATAAAAATATAGGAGACGTCAGCTTGTTGAATTCGTGGTCAGGCTGAGAACTGGCAGCTGGATTTGGCACAGTGAAAGGCACTAAGTGGCCGTAAGCACTTTCAGTGCTGTGGGGTCTCGGCATGGGCTGGAAAATACTGGAGCCAGACAAGTCTTTCAAGGAATTTTGCTGTGAAGGAGAGCAGAGAACAAGGGCTGGAGCTGGAGGGAGAATTGGGGTGAATTTTATGTTTTTAAGATTCAGAGGACTTTTAATTTGGCTATCTTTATCGGTTACATTTGGCTAAACTCTTCATTCTGGACAATTTTAAATATATACAAAAATAGAAAATACAGGATAATGAGGCCTCATGCACCCATCACACCAATTCAAGGCCAACTTTTTTTTAAAATATTTTTTATTGATTTTTGAAAGTAAGAGGAAGGGAGAAAGATAGAAACACCAATGAGAGAGGAACATTGATCAATCAGCTGCCTCTGGGATCAAGCCTGCAACCCAGGCATGGGAAATCCTCTGGGAATCCAACCAGTGACCTCTTAGTGATTGGGGCGATGTTCAATCCATTGAGCTACACTGGCCGGGCTTACAGCCAACTTTGATTCGTCCCTCCCTGTCCCCCACTTCCCTGGACTACTTTGAAGCAAATCCCAGTTTTCATTACATCTATAAATATTTCAGTATGTATATCTACAAGGATAAGGAATCTCCCAAAAGGCAACCAAATACCACTTTTAAACCTAAAAAAATTACAATAGCCTTTCAGCCAGAACCACCATCTTCCAGTAATTCGCCAAAATGACTAGCACAAAGGGAAAGAGGAGAGGCACCGCTATATGTTCTCCAGGCCTTTTAGGAAACATGGAGTTGTTCCTTTGGCCACATACATGTGAATCTACAAGAAAGGTGATATTGTGGACGTCAAGGGAATGGGCACTGTTCAAAAAGGAATGCCCCAGCCCTAGCTGGTTTGGCTCAGTGGATAGAACATCATCCTGCGGACTGAAGGGTCCCTGGTTCGATTCCAGCCAAGGGTACATGCCTGAGTTGTGGGCTCCATCCCCAGTAGGGGGCGTGCAGGAGGCAGCCAATCAATGATTCTCTCTCATCATTGATGTTTCTATCTCCCTCTCCCTTCCTCTCTAAAATCAATAAAATATATTTAAAAAACAAAACAAACCACAAACAAACAAACAAAAAAGGAATGCCCCACAAGTGTTACCAGGGCAAAACTGGAAGAGTCTACAGCAGTGGTTCTCAACCTTCCTAATGCCGTGACCCTTTAATACAGTTCCTCATGTTGTGGTGACCCCCAATTTCATTGTTACAAATTGAACATAATTAAAGCATAGTGATGAATCACAAAAACAATATGTAATTATCTATGTGTTTTCCGATGGTCTTAGGCGACCCCTGTGAAAGGGTCATTCGACCCCCAAAGGGGTCGCGACCCACAGGTTGAGAACCGCCGGTCTACAGTGTCACCCAGCATGCAGTGGGCATTATTGTGAACAAGCAAGTTAAGGGCAAGATTCTTGCCAACAGAGTTAATGTACGTGTTGAGCATATTAAGCATCTAAGAGTTGAGATGGCTTCCTGAAACGTGTGAAGGAAAATGATCAGAAAAAGAAGGAAGCCAAAGAGAAAGGTACCTGGGTTCAACTGAAGCGTCAGCCTGCTCCACCCCGAGAAGCACACTTTGTGAGAACCGATGAAAGGAGCCAGAGCTGCTGGAACCCATTCCCTATGAATGGATGGCATAAGTGGGAAAAAATAAAAAAGACTTCCGTGCTGATAAAACTGTTTCTCTTAACTGACTGGGAGTGTGGCGTCCCTTCTCCCTCAAATAAAGAAAACTTTATGTCCTTAAAGAAAAAGAAAAACATTTACAATATTTACAAATATCCAACCAGTGTCCAAATTTCAATACTTACAAAAAATTAAAATACTTACAAATATCCAACCAATGACCAAATTTCCTCAGTCTCAATTTTTCTAGCTTCTTGCAACTAGTTGATAGATCTCTAAGTCTCTTGTAATTGCAGGTTTCCCCTTAGTCTCTCTCTCTCAATCTCTCCCTCTTTTCCTTGAGATTCATTTGTTGGAGAAACAGGTTGTTTTGTCTTGTAGACTTTCAGTTGGGATTTTGATGACTGGGTCAGAAAAGGTGGTGACACCTATCCTAGGTATTTCCTGTAATTTGGTGTATAAACCTAGAGAAATCGAACTAAATTCAGGTTCCCCATTTTGGCAAGGGGAGGGGGCACTTCCATCAGGAGGCACATGAAGTCCAGTTGTCCCTCTTTTCCTGACCTTAGGGGCTGACGAGAATCCTTGCCTAGATCCACTATATATTACTCCAATAAGGACTGCAAAATGGTAATACGCCAATTCTACCAGGAAGTGAAGGGTCTTCTGTTTTTATTGTGTATAAGGTGCAAACCAGCCTGTTTGTATGGGAATGGGTGATTCCTGGTTTTCCGCAAACTGGGTCCCATAATCGAGACCTGCCGTCACTCCTCTGACCCCTGTGCCCGACCCCTTCCTCTCAGTCGAATTGTTCTCTACCCTTCCAGTGGTTCTCAACCTTCTGGCCCTTTAAATACAGTTCCTCATGTTGTGATCCAACCATAAAATTATTTTCGTTGCTACTTCATAACTGTAATGTTGCTACTGTTATGAATCATAATGTAAATATCTGATATGCAGGATGGTCTTAGGCGACCCGTGTGAAAGGGTCGTTCGACCGCCAAAGGGGTCGCGACCCACAGGTTGAGAACCGCTAGTCCTGGCCAACTCCATAACGTGGGCTTTGGCCCAAATTCTGCGGCCCCTAACCACCCCAGGCCAGGTCCCGCCTTGGCCACTGGAAACGGACCTGCGGGACACCCAATAGTTTAAGCTACTGAGGGAGGCGCCCAATAGCGCGGGAGAGGAGGCGGGCCCTGGGAGGAGTCGACAGCTTAGGGAGGAGAGCCAAGCAGCAACCAGCAGTCTTCTCCGAGAGGCGGGACGCCGAGGAAAGCCAATCGCGGGACGCACTCGGCGCAGCCGCACCCCAAGGCTCTGGGGCGGGGGTGTCACCCTGACCCGGCCGGTCCCGCTCCCGGGCTCCGAGGCTATGGCCGGGAGCGGGTGGCTGGCGCTGCGGACGATGCCGGGGCCTGGCTGGGTGCGGGGCTCTGGCCCCGCCGTGCTGAGGCGCCTGCGGGATGCGGCTGTGGTGCGGCCCGGCTTCCTGAGCGCGGCCGAGGAAGAGACGCTGAGGCGCGAGCTGGAGCCGGAGCTGCGCCGCCGCCGCTACGAGTTCGACCACTGGGACGCGGTGAGGCCGGCGGCGCTGGAGGCGGGACCGCGCTGGGGGCGGAGCCACGTCAGAGGCGGAGGCGGGGACGTTGGGGGCGGGGACGGGAGAGGTGCTCTGGTGGGGCGGGGCTCCCGGGGGCGGTGCCTGGGGCGGGGCTTTGGGGCGGGGCTACGGTGGGGACGGGAGTGTGGCGCTGGGTGGGGCGGGGCTACGGCTGGGGGCAGAACCTTGGGAGTCTTTGAAGATGAGGGCAGGGCCATAACTGGAGGCAGGACCTGGAACCGAAGGGTGTTTGGGGTACAGGACCAAGGTTTGGTAGAGAAAGGGGTGTAGAGGGAGGAGAGGGAGGGTCACCGTTTGAGAGCAGAAACTGACACAAAATTGAATATTGGGGCGAGGCCAGCATTGGAGCCTGGATTTGGAACTGAATTGGAGCCAGAGGTTGGGTACAAAAGACTGAGGCCAAAGATGATGGCTTAGATAGGTCAAAGTTTGTGAGTTGAGGGTGAGATCAGGGGTCATGCAGGAAACCAGCCCCTGGCTCTGCATTCTGCCCTTCCCTACCTTAGTTTCCCTGTCTTCTCAGTGCGCTGTGTTCTCCCCGCACCCCCAACCCCCACCCCCGGCATACACCCGGGGTTTCCAGGTTTGACCTGAGCTCTCTCTGCAGGCCATCCATGGCTTCCGAGAGACAGAAAAGTCTCGCTGGTCAGAGGCAAGCCGGGCCATCCTGCAGCGTGTTCAGGCAGCCGCCTTTGGCCCAGACCAGACCCTGCTGTCCTCAGTGCACGTGCTGGACCTGGAACCTCGGGGCTACATCAAGCCACATGTTGACAGCGTCAAGGTGGGCAGAAGCCTGCAGCTTGAAGCTCCCAGCTGGGGTTGGGCCAGCCTGGCCAGAGCCTGACCCACCACCCTGCTCCCTCTTCCAGTTCTGCGGAACCACCATCGCTGGCCTGTCCCTGCTGTCTCCCAGTGTCATGCGGCTGGTGCACACCCAGGAGCCTGGGGAGTCGCTAGAACTCTTGCTGGAGCCATGCTCACTGTACATCCTTAGGTACTGCCCCGCCAAGAAGCCACCACCCTACTAATCACTGGTCAGACACTACCCAGCACTTCAAGCACCTTCTCTCATTCAGCCCTCACAGAAAACTACCATCCACTACACAGCAGACGCTTAGCCTGGAACAGGGGTGCCCTCACCCTACCCAGTCACAGCCTCTGCTTTCTCTTTCAGAGACTCTGCCCGTTATGACTTCTCCCATGAGATCCTTCGGGATGAAGAGTCCTTCTTTGGGAAACTTCGGGTTCCCCGAGGCCGACGCATCTCCGTGATCTGCCGCTCCCTCCCTGAGGGGGTAGGACCAGAGGAGCCTGGGCAGCCACCCCCAGCCTGCTGACCCCCAGGCCCTTTGACCAGCTTCTCAGGGACACTGTTTGTGAATAAAGCTAGGAAATGGACAAGGTGGCCTTCCTTGCACTGGCTGTTTGCTGGGGCTGGGATCTGCAAGGGAAGCCCAGACCCTACCTGCCCACCAACCAGGAACTAAGATGACAGGGTCAGGAGCACCCCACTGAACACAGAATCACAAGACCCCAGGATCAATTTCCTTTATTGTGTCCCTTGCTGGCATCCCCAGCCCACCCCATCTTCTCATCTTCTGGGCATCCAGGTCTCCAATAAATAAGTCATCAGACCTCTGGGGTGGCTGCAGGGCCCCATCTGGGCACCCTCAGCCACTGCAGCCGCAGGCAGCCGCTGAGAGCTGGGGCAGCCACTGCCAGCGGTGGTGATCATCCAGGAAGGCCACGTCAGCATAGCGGGTGGGCTGGCAGCAGGGGCTTCCATGTGCTCGGCCCTGGCTCCGCAGCCAGGCCAGCGTCAGGCTGTGCTGGGTGCGGGCACCTCGGGGACAACTGCCAGCACAGTAGCGGAAGATGATCGTCTCCTCCGAAGCATAGCCCAGGCCCAGCTCCACCACTGGCAGAGCCAAGCTCTGCAGCTGGCATGGGCCGGCCGGGGCTCGGCGCAGGCGGGCACCTGGATGGGAACAAGGGGCAGTTGACAGTGGTCAGGGGTTGGCCAGGAAGGAGTTGGGGAGTCACGGGGTGCTGGGGGTCCTTACTCAGCTGTGCCTTCCAGGTCCCCATGTCTGCTGCCGGCTCAGACGAGAGTGTTCCCTCCACCACTGGAGCCCCTGGCGTACTCGGGTTCCCGCCGAGGCCCAGCTGCAGGGATAGGAGCAGCAGAGAGCTGAGCAGGACTCTTCCTATGGCCATGGCGACGAACAGGTTCTGAGGATGGAGAGGTCCTGGGCTCTCAATTTATCCCCATCTGGGCTGGGAAATGACCTCTTCACTGCCGGATGCTGTATGGGCACGAAGGCCCCATGTCCCCCACCAGCTTGTCTCCCACATCCTCAGACCCAGGCAGACCAACTCCCTTTGTCCCACATTCTTTCCTTCTAAGAGTTAAGGGCTCACCCCCTCATCCAGACATTCCATAGATTTCTGACACCCCCTCCACACCTTGATTTAAGAGTTGAAGCGGCAGCCAGGGCCCAGCCCAGGGTGAGCAACCAGGGTCCCTGCCCCACTGTCCCACCTGCCATCTGGAAGGAGAGGTGGCGGGGGAGGTTCTGTGGTCCCCCCATTGGGGCCCCTTCCCATTCAAGCAGGGTGCTGAGGCTCAGGAGCCCCTGTGTTGGGCACCAGGTGGAACGGATATGTTGGAGGGGGGGAGGTGGAGCGGGAGCAGGGAAGAGGTGGTTTGGCAGGTGAATTAGCTAATGGGGACTCATCCATCATGGCTCCAGCCTAGAGGATTAAGACATCATGCTCCTGTGTCTGGGCCTGGCTGAGCCAGTGTCAAAACAGGAAAAGGGAGAGGCTCCAGGACAGCCAAGAGTTGGGACATAAGGGGCCGGAAGCTCACCCTGCAGGGACTCCTGCCTCTAGAAGGCCCACCTGAGTACCCTGGGACTCAGCCGGTCCTGGTGTCCAGAGCATCAGCAAGAAGGGAGGTTGGCTCCCACTGGGTCTTGGAGGCAGTTGCAAGTCACAGTGACTTCCATACCCTGCCCCTGTGGCCCCTGGGAAGTGAGACTGTCCCTTACCTCTGAAAGGAGGCTAATCAGTCCCTCCCACATGAGGTTTTGAGGACAGTGATTAACATGGTGTTTGGCACTGAGGAGCTTGGGAGAGCTTTTGAGGCGAAGGAAATTCAAATAGCTTTTGCATGTTTGAAGAGGTGCTCGACCTCACACAGGTGAGATTGAGTTAAAACTCTACTCGGAACCCAAGATGGGCAAAAATCAGAGCTTGCTTTCACATGGCTGGGGTGCACGCATGACATAGGTGCATCCCCACACTGTGGGTGGGAGTGTAAGTTGGTAGCAGTTGAGCAGTTGATACTGAAACTGCAAATCCCATCCCTTTGACCCCGAAACTGTCAGGAATTTATGCTTAGCAGGTGAGCAGACACAAACTCAGGACTATTCGCTACTTTCTATCAGCAAAAGATCAGAAATGACCGGAAATCTACATACAGGGGATTGCTTCACTAATTTGGTATGGTGGTTCTTTTTTTTAAAATACATTTTATTGATTTTTTTACAGAGAGGAAGGGAGAGGGATAGAGTTAGAAACACCGTAGGGGATGTGCCCGCAACCAAGGTACACGCCTTTGACCAGAATCGAACCTGGGACCCTTTAGTCCGCAGGCCGAAGCTCTATCCACTGATCCAAACCGGTTAAGGCTGGTGTGGTTGTTCTTATTGCAGTACCTATTGAGACTACTTTCAGAAGTAGTCCAGAGTCACCCAAAATTAAAAGCAGGCAGAATTTGAACCCAGGTCCTGCTGAACACACGGTCCCTGCTCCTAACCACTGATGCATATGGCTTTACTGGTAGATCAGTCCACATGGCCGAGTATAGGGGTAAAAATCCCAGGGCAAAGGGTGAGAGCATCTTTCCTGTTGCCCCAAAAAGGCCTGGCGGAAGTATGGGGAGGGAGGTTGGACCAACCTGGGACATTCCTAGGAATTAGCCTGACATCTCAGGCATTCCCATTCGACAGCCAAGGTCCTGTGGAACTGGGTGGGGAAGTTTTCCACCTGCAGTTTCCAGCCAAGGGCAAGATAGAAATCTGGATCACTTGGGATAGGGGTTAAAAAGTAGCACCTGCTGCCAAATTTCATTTCCAGCAGCAGCATTATTGTCCATGAAATTGAACAGTCCTCCCACTACAGAACATCTCTAGCAATGCTGGAAAAAATAAATGCATAACCAACTTGTAAGAAAGGGAAGCCCCAGAAACATCACTGGAAAGCTGAAGAAAATGCCAACATCAGCAATAAAAGGGGTTTGGGTTTTCACTGTCATGTAAGGGACAGAGCCCTGAGCTGAGAACCATCCCAAATGGGCTCAGGCTGGGACTCATGGGGCACCTGGTGGGAGCAAAGGCAAAACCCATTTACAAGGACCGGCCTGTAGATCATCCAGGAGTCCCACAGATAGAGCCCCAAGCTGGCCACCAGTTCCCCTATCCAAGATTATAATCAGTCATGAAGACCAGTCAGAAGATAGAAGAGGAAGCCTGTGAGCTTCAGGTGCTGATGTGTCTGATGAAAACTCTAAGATGCTTAAAATAAAAATGTGAAAGCGATGAAAAACATTTAGGACAGTCTAGCCTGTATGGTTCAGTGGTTGAGCATCAACCTATGAACCAGGAGGTCACAGATTGATTCCCAGTCAGGACACATGCCTGGGTTGCGGGCTTGATCTCCAGTGTGGGGCGTGTAGGAGGCAGCCAATCAATGATCCTCATCATTGATGTTTCTCTCTCTCTGAAATCAATAAAAATATATTTAAAAAACACACACATTAAGGACAAAACACGCAAAACAGGCCGGCTGTTGAGCTGGTTGAGCATCATCCTGTGCACCAGGGGATTGCCAGTTTGATAGCAGTCAGAGCACACATCCAGGTTGCAGTTTTGACTCCCCACTGGGGTGTGTACAAAAGGCAACCAATCAATATTTTTCTCTCTGATAGATGTTTCTCCTCTAAAATCAATAAAAACATTTTAAACTAGCCCTAGCCAGTTTGGATCAGTGGGTAGAGTGTTAGCCTGCAGCCCAAAGGGTCCCAGGTTTGATTCCAGTCAAGGGCACATGCCCGGATTGCTAGTTTGATCCCCAGTAAGGGGCATGCAGGAGGCAGCCAATCAATGATTCTCATCATTTTGTTTCTCTCCCTCTCTCTTCCTCTCTGAAATCAATAAAATTTTTTAAAAAACAAAACACACAGACCAACTGATCTGAAAAAGAAACAGCTGAAGAGAGAACTGGCAAAGTGGAAGACAGACCTGAAGAAATCACCCTATGTGCAAAATAAGTTCTGAGAGACATCTCAAGGCTCTAGAACAGGGGTGGGCAAACTTTTTGACTCGAGGGCCACAATGGGTTCTTAAATTGGACCGGAGGGCCGGAACAAAAGCATGGATGGAGTGTATGTGTGAACTAATATAAATTCAAAGTAAACATTACATAAAAGGGTATGGTCTTTTTTTTTTTTTTTTTTTAGTTTTATTCATTTCAAACGGGCCGGATCTGGCCTGCGGGCCGTAGTTTGCCCATGGCTGCTCTAGAAGGAGGAGTGGGGGAGAATAAGAGAAGTAAATTGAGAAGAATGCTGCTTAGGTTTTTCCAACTTATTAATGCTGGGTCCTGGGATTCAGGGAGCAGGGTGACAAGTGGACAGTTGGACCTACAGCAATGAGTATGTGGAATTCAAGAGCCCATGAACTTCTGGAGACGAGCTTATTTATTGGGCAAAAGGGTGGGGACCAGCCCCTCACTCCTTGAGGGAGAAGTGCATCTTGTCGTTGATCATCTTGCGCTCAGGGTTTAGGCGTTTGAGGATCTGGGCAAGCACGTTCACTGTCTGCTCGCTGCTCAGCCCTGTCTTCTTGGTCTGGAACTTTTTCAGCAGGTCTTTCGTGGTCATGGGCTTCCGTGTCAGGTAGCGGCGCACAGCGTCCTCAGTCACCTGCACGTCACTGGAGTGCAGTGGAGAGTGGGGAGGTTAGTGGGTGGCCCTCCTTCCCAGTGGTCCCCTCCTGCCCCTGCTGTCCTCACCAACTTACCCACTGCTGGGGGTTGACTTCCCAGATTGGGGCTGAGGAGTCGACTTCCCAGACAGGCTCTGGGGTCCACTGTCCAGCCGCAACCGCTTAGCTGCTGTCGCCTCATTTGTCCGCTTTCCTGTAAGAGCAGAGGCAGGGCTGAGTATTAGAAATGTGACACTGGACATGTTGGGAGACCCCAGGCCGGGTGGTGCCTAGATTATGGATACAAGGAGCTCAGGGGCAGATAGGTGTCTGCCCCTTGATCTGGCCTCAGATCCTGATGCTCAGTGCACACAAGAACAAAGGTCAGGAGGTTGCAGTGGGACGGGAAGGCCACCCACCTTGCTCCAGTTTGCTGGCAGCTGCCCGAAGGGTGGAGGAGGTGTTGCCACTCTCTGTGCTGGGTGTGCCTGGCCGGCTATTGCCCCTTGAGCTGCCCCCTGATGGCTTCCGCTCTCTCTTGGGGGGAGTCTTCTTTTTCTGCAAATTTTAGGGTTGGGGACGTGAGTCTGGAAACAGACACCAGGGCCGACATCCCTCCTCCCAACCCTGGCTGGGCCTTACAGCCATGAAGAGAGCTGAGGAGGCCTCACTGTCAATGTCACTCTCTTCTGAGCTGTCAGACTCATCACTGCTGTCTGTATGGGGACAAAGAAGAGCTGTCAGGATCAGAGGCACCCACACCCACCCTCAGCTCTATCTCAGATAAGGGGATCTAGTAGGGGCAGAGGGGACAGAAGCCTAGAAAGCCAAGCCCACCTCTCTTCCGCTTCTTCTCTTGTGGGGTGGGTGCCTTCTTCTCCTCCTCCTCCTCCTTGTCCTCCTCAGGAGGCTTCTCCTCCTCACTCTCCTCACTGCTTTCGCTCTGCTCATCCACGCCCTTGGGACCCTCCTCCTGCTGGGTGACCTTGGGCTTGCCCTCCGGCTCTTCCTCAGAGCTGCTGCAACACCAAGAGTGAGCAGAGGGTGAGTGAGCTCTTCCTCCAGGCTGTCCCAGGGTCTCACACCTGCCTCCCGCCTGCCTCACCTGGAGCCATCAGACATGTAGTCCACCTCCTGGCCCTCAAAGTCCCCATCGTCACTGTCCTCAAAGGCCTCATCATCTGACCCCTTCTTCTTCTTCTTCTTCCGGCCTGCCTTAGTCATCGGTGCCTTCTTCTTGGCCTTGGGGGCTTTGACACCTGGGGAAGTGGAGGGGGGCTGAGCACTCATCTGGGGTTTGTATATTCAAGGACATTGGGACATCTCAGGCCTTGACAAAGGGGGAGATGGCCAATTCTTAGAGAAGCAAAGGGCTTGCCTAGGGGCAACACCTCATGTGCAAACCAAACCAATTTGGGATCTATACCCCCTGGCCACAGCCTTTCTCCAATCTCACACTGAGGGCCACTGTCTTCTGCACTAAATCACTCTTGGAGCCCAGAGCCCCTGGAAAGATTCAAACTGGTGGATCCCACCATATCTTTTTTAAAATATGTTTTTATTGATTTTTTTTTTTAAGAGAGAGGAAGGAAAAGAGAGAGGGGAAACAATGATGTGAGAAACATCAATCAGCATGCACCCCAACCACAGATCAAGCCTGCAACTTGGGCATGTGCCCCAACAGAACTGAACTGCAGACCTTTCAGTGCATGGGATGATGCTCAACCAACTGAACCACACCGGCCAGGGCCCATCACTCATTTCTGCCTCCAATTCATTCTGGTGCTTCTGCAAGTGGCCCTGCATGGCATGTTGTGCCTGCCTCTCATCTCCCAGGAAACTGTAAACTGTTTTTTTCAATGGCATTAATTACTCTGTGTTGTCACTCAACTACCTTTATAAAGTAAGACTCAAGCACGACTTAGGCAGCTGTGCCGAACACCCCAGCCACCAGGGCAGGCTCTGCCCAGGCTCACCCTCCTCGCCGCTGGCCTCGCTGTCATCAGACGACATCTCCAGGTCGTCTTCCAGGTCATGGATGCGCAGCTCACTGGGCTTTTTGCGGCCACGCTTATCCTTCTCCTCATCCTCCTCGTCCTGGTCCTGGTCTTTGAGCCGCCGCTGCTGCATGATGCTGAAGTGGTTCAGGACTTTGTTCCTCCTGCAGGCAGAGGTAAGGCGTACACTGGGGTCTGATAACAGGCCTGGCTCCAGGGCCCTCCTCCAGGAACCAGGTCTCCTCCCTGCACGTCACTGGATGTTCCCCAGAAGGGAACCACAGACACGAGTTAGGTAATAAGAGGCATGATCTGACCACAGGGGACTCACACATAACATGGACACCCTAAAAGCACACGGGGAGAGCTGACCCTTTTTCAGTTCCCTCTGCCCTGAGCTCTCAAGGAGAAGGTGTTGGCATCCCAGCACCTCTCTCAGCTTAAGACCAATTTCAGGTCCACACGAAGACACATCAAAATTAAAATGGCAAAGGTGCCCAGCCAGGATGGCTCAGTAATTGAACGTCAATATGAACCAGAAGGTCAAGGTTCAATTCTCAGTCAGCACACATACCCGGGTTTCAGGCACAGTCTCCAGTGGGGGGGCGTACAGGAAGCAGCCTATCCATAATTCTCTCTCATCATTGATATTTCTATCTTTCCCTCTCCCTTCTTCTCTGAAATCAATGTGTGTATGTGTATGTGTTAAGTAAAAGAATGGAAAAAGATATTTCATGCAAACAGAAAAAAAAAAAAAAAAAAAAAAAGCTGGGGTAGCAATATTTATATCAGACAAAATAGATTTCAAAACAAAGGCCATAACAAGACCAATCTCAGGCAACAGATATCTGCAGTTGATCCAGCCTAGATCTCCTGCCTGGGTAAACTCAAGGGATACCCTGCCCTGCTCTCAGTCACCAACTTCTTAGCCCTCACAGGACCCTGTACATCCCTGATGGTTTGATTGATGTCTCCCCACTGGACTGAGAGCTCCCTGAGGGCCTGGTGGGGTCTGGCTTGGTCATCACTGAGTCCCCAGCTCCCAGCGGGGCATAAAGTTATGGTGACCTACCTCATTTCCAATTATTTTGGCTCTACGCTGGTGAAGCTATGAGACGACACTGTCTGCATCTGCTTCCCTCCCAGCCCCGCCCGGGCTTCCTCACCTCTCCCACTCCTCCTCGGCTTCTTCAGCAGTGAGCGTACGGTGCCGGGCCAACGGCGTGAAGTTGTACCAGTTGTGCACTGGGAACGCTTCAAAAGCCCCGTCAGGGCACTGGGTGAAGATATAGTAGGACGTGTTCTCTGTCACACCTCCCTTCTTTATACCCTTGAACCTGCAAAGAACCACGGTCACGGTCACAGCCTGTGTCGAGAGAGACCCGCCCTGGCCCACCATGCCCCTAGGCCTGTCCCTTCTACAGAACCACCTGGTTTCTCCGAGCAGTCAGAGGCTGGGAGGCTTTGGGCTAGCTCTTGAACTGTCTGAGGCTTGATTTCCAAATCTGGGAAGCAGGGCCAGTGCTCCTCACCTGCAGAGTGGGCTGAGGGCTTCCCCCATTTTACATATCACGGTCCTTTCATGGAAGGAACATGTTAGATAACCTGAAGAGCACAGGCCCTGCAGTCAGACCCCTCTGATCTGCCTCCAGGCTGCTCCTTGGGCCTGAACCACTGCCAGCCTCCTCCTGGCTTCTGCCCTCACACTCCTCCCACACAGAAGTCCAGGCAACGTTAGAGTGCCCCTTCCCTGCTTCCCACCTTCAAGGTGGCCCCTGGATGTACATGAACAGGGCAGGTGCCCTTGGAACTCCTATACAAGCACCAACTTGATTTACCTTTAAAAATAAAACCCTATAAAAGAGATATACCAAAGAACTTATATGCAGAGCCCATGGACATGGGCAATAGGGTGGTGAAGACCTAGGAGGGTAAAATGGGAGACATCTGTAATACTAACAATTATATATATATATATATATATATATATATATATATATATATATATATATATTAAAAAACAGAATGAATAAATAAATAATAAAATGAAACCCCATGACGGAGGACATGCTGTCACCTGCACTGTGCATAGGGGGCATACAAGTTCTGAGAGAGTACCCCACAAAGTGAGGGCATGAGGGAAGAGGAGGTGGGCACCTGCTGCCATCACCACTTACTTCCTGCCCGACTTGCCATTGACTCGGAGCAGCCAGGGCTGGTCCTCAGGCCGGAACTCCTTGAGGACGATGCCGTACTTCTTCCTCCGAGCCTCCTCCCGAAGCTTGCGGTTAAACTCACTGCCTGCACCTGACTCAGGCATCTCCTCCTCTTGGTAAATCTTCTTGTTGCTCAGATCTCTCTCTAGCCGGGCCTGGGGGCACATGGTGGGGGAAGCAGGAAATAAGATCTCTCATCAGGGCACCTGCCTTTGCTCAGGCTGTGCCCCTACCCCTAAGAACACCCTTTATTCTCTCCAAGCTGAGCTATAGACACTCCAACTTCTTGCTTGGCAAAAAAAGTAGAAAGTCAGTACTCAGTGAATGTGAGTGAAGGGATATGGGCAAGCTTTGTACTATGTCTATTTGTGCAGCTTTTTGAAAGTTTGAAATTATTTCTAAATGAAAATGAAAAAATAAAAAAAAACAGTAAAAAAAAAAAAACCACAGTAAGGTCATAGTGGTGGTAAAACAAAAACAACAATAAGCCCTAGCCAATTTGGCTCAGTGGATAGAGCGTTGGCCTGCAGACCAAAGGGCCCCTGATTCAATTCCAGTCAAGGGCACATGCTTTGGTTGCAGGCTCCTCCCGGGCCCAGGCCCTGACTAGAGCCCATGCAGGAGGCAACTAATTGATGTGTTTCTCTCACTTCATTGTTTCTCTCCATCTTTCCCTCTCCCTAAAAAAAAAAAAAATCAATGGGAAAAAAAAAATCAATGGATTAACAAACAACAATGAAAACAACCTGCTTGCCTGGCTGGCGTGGCTGTGTTTGAGCATCGACCTATGAACCTAGAGGTCACGGTTCTGATTTACGGTCAGGGCACATGCCTGGGTTGTAGGCTCAATCCCCAGTACGGGGCACGCAGGAGGCAGCCAATCAATCTCTGGCATCATTGATGTTTTTATCTCTCTCCCTCTTCCTTCCCCTCTGAAATTAATAAAAATATATTTAAGAAAAAGAAAAGAAAACAACCTGCTTAGAATTGGCCTTCCTCTCTCTGCATTAGACCCTGGACTGCCCCATGAATTCAGAAGCCATTAAAGGCTGAGGTTTTTCAAATTTTAATCTCTGGACAATTTAACAGTAGGTATTATTTTAAAATGTACGTTTATAATTCTGCCCTGGCCCTCACCCCTCAATATCCAATCCATCAATAAACCCTGTCAGCTCCACCTCCAAAACCCACTATAGTTAAATCATTTCTCATCCCCTGCTTGCTCCAAAGCCCATCATTGCTCACCAGGACCACAGCTGTCACCTCTACCCTGCTTCATCTGCCCTCCACCCTACAGCAGCCAGATCACTTTACAAAACCCCCATTTAAAACCTTGAATGGCTTCTGCTATAGACTGAATGTTTGTATCTCCGTCCCAAAATGCCTATGTTGAAACCTAACACCTGTGGATGGTATCTTGGGAGGTGATTTTATCATGGGGGTGGAGCCCTTATACCAAAGGGTCCCAGAGAATTCCCTTGCCCCTTCCTAGAGGACACAGGGAGAACAGTGCTGTCTATGAACTAGAAAGCGGGCCTTTCCAGACACCAAATCTGCTGGTGCCTTAATCTTGGACTTTCAGCCTCCTGAACTGTGAGCAATAAATGGCTGTTGTTTATATGATGTTCTGTTAGAGCAGCCCCAACGGACTGAGACAACTCCCAAAGCCCTTACGGTGGGGACTCTGAGACCATGTGTAGGATGTAGCCTCCTCCTTTGCCCAGAAAAATCTAGGCCCAAAATGCCCATCAGTGGGCACAATGTCTAAATGTTCTCCTTTCAGAAGGCCTCCTGCAGGGCCTGACAAGTTTTACTCAGAGCCCAGCTGCTCAACCTGGACCTTAGTTGTCACTTATCTCCACTGGGGAAGCACCGAGGGAACACACTTAGTTACTATCACAGCCACGACATTCACAATCAATTCTCATTCCCCTCAGAACCCGGATTTACCTGATTCCAAGTAGCGAAGTTGACTTTATCAGCTGCATTGAAGGCCATGATGTTATATTTTTTGGTTGTATTTCTGGAATGATCAAGAAGAGATAGTGCTCAATGATTGAGCTTCAATCCATTCAACAAACCCTCCCGGGTTCAGCCCTCTGTGACAGGCAATGCTGAGGACCCTTAAAACACCCCAGAGGTCCCAAGTCTGTCAGCGAAGCCAGATCCGTACTCTCAACCTATGCAGAAAAAGGTACAAAGATTTAGGGGAACCAAGATGAATAATAGGGAACTCAGACCTAGGCAGGAGGGAAGGCAAGCAGAGAATGCTTCCTGGAGGAGGAAAATACTGGAACTGGTTTTGGGGATCAACAAGAATCCACCAGCAGTCACAGCTGGGGAAAAGGCATTCCTGGCAGAGGGAATGTTAGGCCAGGGGCTGCATCGCTTGCATATGAATGTACTCATTCATTCATTCCATTCAAAAACAGTGCTACCCCAGAGAGTCCTCGCTCAATCCCAGCCCTGCCCTCGTCGCTGCCAGTCTGGAGGATGAATCACAGGCAAGGCAGCGCCTGGCATGCCTAGAGGCTCTTAAAGGTTTTGATTGTTTGGGGGGGGGGTGGGGTCGGGTGAGACTTACTTGGGAACTCGAACGACATACTCAGTGACATTCTGGCTGCCAGGACCCTGCGCGGGGAGAAAGCGGGACGGTGAGTGAGGGACTGATTGCTGAGGCCGTCGGAACCCCTGGACCCCGCCTCACACTTACGAAGGCCGCCATGGGCAAGGGTCGGTGGTTCGGGTCTGGTCCAATCCGTGTTCTTTTCGCCTCTCCTGCGGTCCGCGACCCTCACACCGGGGAAAGCCGCCTTTGCGGGATCGGGTCTTTGGCCCCGGTCGAGGACCCCAAGTCCGAGGCGCCACCGAACTACCCGGAAGCGCTGCTGGGTCGTCCGCCTCAGTGGCCGCTCCTAACACATCTGCGCCTGCGCCTAACCTGAGACACTCTCCCGCGGACCGCGGACCGCGTCACGACCGCAGCCTCCTCGTTTGCCCCGGGACCTCAGTGAGCTGTCACCTAGCCTCCTGGTGCCTTTCGGAGGCGTGAACCAGTCCGGGCCAAACGTAACTGCCTTCTGGAGCTCCTGCAGCTGCTGACCGCTTTATATAGCGCGGTTAATTTGCTCATGACGTGAGCACGCCCTCCCGTGACGTTAGCACGCAAAAGGCAGCGGGGCATTCTGGGAGGGGAAGGAGAAACCATCCACCCTCACGGACTCTCCAAGCCTAGGGCTGCCCCGCCCCACTACGGAAGTGAGTTCCAGGAGGCCGCGTCACCATAGCAACCGAGGCCTCAGTCGCGCCACGCAGCCGCGGCACCACTACCTCTTTGGAGTTTATTTCTTCTCCCTGCCCGCGAGGGGGCGGGGGGGGGGGGTTGGCCATACCATCATCTTGCTAAATGATTGGGCCAGGTGCCCTTGTGACGTTGAGCCGAGCCGGAAGAGGTCAGGGCCAAAGCGGGGATGGGGCGCGATAACCCCCCAGGCCGCTGGGAGGATGGGTCTGTGCAAATCCAAGCTGCCCCCATGGACAGACCCCTGAGGCCACAGGAGAACGGTAACATCGTGGGGGTGGCAGGCTTACTGGGGGAAGGGAAGGAGGCTATGGAGGGCAGGAGGGAGGTACAGGTGTGCACACGCTCCTCGCACACAACCTAGTAGTAACACAACTGCGCATGCTCACAGATCAGCCATTCGTTAATCCCCTTGAGCATCCGCTGTGCTGGGTTCAGGGCGGTCCACCGTGACTGTGTCAAACCAGCTCCCTGTCCTCTTGGAGATTACAGTGTAGTCGAGGAGACCGTCTTAGAAAACAGTGCCTACAACTCAGGAGATGTCACAGAAAAAGCAGAGCTGGCTCTGGAGGCCTAGAGAAGAGGGGAGGTTTAAGCTGGGCCCTTCGGGTTGCTTAGGAGTTGGCTAAGCAAAGACAAGAGGGAAGCAGGACACTCAAATTGCATCATAAACTACAACACCCCATAGGCTCCTCGCTCACTGCTGTTATGTCAGTAAACTAGAAATATAGGGACAAGTGAGACAGATAGAGTCCTTGCCCTCATGGAGTACACTGGCTGGGAGGCAAAAAAAAAAAGAAAGAAAAAGTCATCACTGATCTTTGCTGTGGAGGAAATTGCGTTCCAACACAGGGATGAGTGGGTTTTGACCTGAAAGTGCTGAGGCAGGGCTTTCCCAGATGGAGGGAACAGGCATGGGAGGAATGAGCTTGGCAGTTTAAGGGACAGAAAGGAGACCAGTAGGCTACTGGGGCTGGACCAGAGTGAAGGAAGGGGAGGGTGATATGGGATGAGTCTGGGGGATGGACAAGTCCCTTCCCCCTATCTGAGCCACAATTTCCTCAACTGTAAATGGGATGATAGAGTTATTATGATGCTTCAAGGAGATGCTGCATGCAAAGGGCCTAACCTGCTCTGGTTCACATCCTTATCCACAGAATCCACAGCAGCAGTAATGTATGCCAGGCCTGAATACCCAGGTGTCACCCTAGGACAAAAGTGGGTTTGCCATCAGACCTGTGCCTGGTATCACCCCAAGGACATGCACTGAGCTGTGGATATAGCTCTACAGGCACCAAATACTCTCCCTCTGTCTTTCTGGGCACCACAAACATCCTTAGGTCTTCCCATTTTTGTGATGGGTGGCCCAGGCTGTGACAAAGGGACGCAGTGCAAGAACATGGTGACCGCCCAGCCAGTGTGGCTCAGGGGTTAAGAGTCGACTCATGAATCAAGAGGTCACTGGTTCAGTTCTCCATCATGCCCCACATGCCAGGATTGTGGGCTCGATCCCCATTAGGGGCATGCAGGAGGCAGCCACCAATGTTTCTCTCATTAATGTTTCTATCTTTCTCCCTTTCTCTTTAAAAATCAATAAAAACTGCCGAAACCGGTTTGGCTCAGTGGATAGAGCGTCGGCCTGCGGACTGAAAGGTCCCAGGTTCGATTCCGGTCAAGGGCATGTACCTGGGTTGCGGGCACATCCCCGGTGGGAGATGTGCAGGAGGCGGCTGATTGATCTTTCTCTCTCATCGATGTTTCTAACTCTCTACCTCTCTCCCTTCCTCCCTGTAAAAAATCAATAAAATATATTAAAAAAAATAAAAATCAATAAAAACATTTCTTAAAAAGAACGTGGCAACTAATTATGGGTTCTGCCATGTGGTGGGGCTGGACCAGCTACTGTGGCAGGAGACCCAAGGTGGCACCTAGCAAGTATGGAAGATTTGCGACATGCTGCAGAGGCGCCTAGTGCCCAGGGTGAGAGTTCATGTGTGCAGGTGTAAAGGGAAGAAGAGGATACATTGGGACACAAACTTCTGGAAAAGGCCCTGTGGAAGCTCCCCACCTCAGCATTGTTTTGTTGCCCTGAGCCTCTGTGTCCTCATCTGTAAAATGGGAGAGCAGCTGATTTATTTTATATATATATAAAACAATGACATGATTTATTGTTTTATATATATATAATATATATTTATATTTATATTTTTATTTCAGAAAGGAAGGGAGAGGGAGAGATAGAAACATCAATGATGAGAGAGAGCATAGATTGGCTGCCTCCTACATGCCCCACACTGGGAATTGAGCCTGAAACCTGGGCATGTGTCCTGACCGGAAATCAAACCCATGACCTCCTGGTTCATAGGTCGCTGCTCAACCACTGACCCACGCCAGCCAGGCATTATTTATTTAATTTTATTTTAGAGAGAGGAAGAGAGAGAGAGGCCGAGAAACATTTATCAGAGAGAAACAGCAATCAGTTACCTCCCACATGCGCCCTGATGACCAGAGATCAAACCTGAAACCTTCCGGTGTGTGAAACAACACTTCAACCAACTGAGCCACACTGGCCAGGGTTAGAGGACATCATTCTTATAAAGTGTTTGGTGTGGTGCCTGACACTTAAGAAGTATTCAATAAAATTAGCACTTATTCCCTGGGCACATATATCATTGGCCTCTTCTCTGCACCTGTTTCCTCACCTGTAAAATGAAGGTCACCCCTGTACCTATCTGTAAATGAGACCCAGCCAGCCTGGCACATGGCAGTCGCTGTGTCCATTTCTCAGGAGTGCTTCCAGAAGCCTCGGCATCAGAGCAGATTCAAAACCTCTGGTATGGGGTGGGGCAGCGTTTCCCGAATTCACCTAAGGTCCAGACTGAGGATGAGAACTTGTCAAGGTGACCTGGTAGGCGAAGGCACTGATCCACCTACCCCTTTCCTTCTCGGGGTACCATCCTAGATATGATCAATGACAAGATGCTGTCTTACCTGGAGAGCCAGGGCCTCCTCATCGATGGCTTCTCCCGGGAGCTGAAGCAGGCCAAGGAGTTTGAGCACATTGACCCTAACATATGCGAGGGTGTGAGACATTGAAGCCATTCTTCCCTCCCCACCTTGGATGGAGATCTGAAGGGTGAGACTAAGGGGAGAGGAGAGGACCAGAGGGAAATGGAGTGTTGTATTATCAAGGGACAGTCAGGTTGTTGGAAGCTTCTAGAACCTGGGTGAATAGCTAAAGAGTTCTATGAGGGCATGGACAATGTCATTTTAATATCTCCCTGTACAGTTCCTGCCCACTGGATAGGAGGGGGTTTAGCAGCCTCTCTGAGCCATAAAGATGGAATACAATTCTTTATTCTATCTTCATCTATTTATTCCACTACCTCTGTTTACCTACCTCTATTCATTCATCTATTTATTCCCCCAAAGAGTCCTTGAGAACAGGCTCTGTCTCAGGGAGTTCATGAGACAGACTTGATCCCTGTTCTTAGGATGCCAACAGCCAGAGCAATAAGTGACCTGTAAAACAAAAAATTTCTGGTAGAGGTAAGTGCAATGAAGAATAGACGACAGAATGACATCTGGAGCAACCCTATTTCAGTTTGGGTGGTCCAGGCAGCCCCCATGAAGCAGGGACATTGGAGAGCGGAGTGATGGAGGAGGAGCTAGCTGGTGCTGGGCAAATTAGAGTGAATGCCAAGTTATTTTTACACATCAGTAATGCTGATGACCCATCAGCCCATCGGGGCACCTGAACAGCAAGGATTGGAGCATCTAGAAACAGCTGAGCAGGAAAAGATAAACAGGAAGGCTGCAGGCCTTCAGACATTTGGTGAATTCCAGTTGCAGTGTCTTCAAAGAAGTCCAGCCAGGAATCAAACAAAGGTTGCTGGGTCAGGATAGCTGCCACCTGGGCAGATGGATCCCTGCCCTTGTTCGCACCTCCATTGGAGCAATTCTGCACTTTTCTGCACTCATCAGCCCTGGGCCAGCGGCTGCTCTAAAGTAGGCTCCCAGTCACAAATGCCAGATGAATGGACTTCTCAAGTGGCCACAAAGTCTTGGAACAGAGGCTAGAAACCCCCAGTCTGGTGTATTCAGTTTGGATTGTAGAATTTGGGGCCCTTTTAAATTTATGGGTTTGTTTGTTTTTTAAATTGATTTCACACCTTAGTCGTTTTGGCTCAGTGGATGGAGCACTGGCCCACGGACTGAAGGGTCCTAGGCCTGATTCCAGTCTAGGGCACATACCTCGGTTGCATGCTTGATCTGATCCCCAGCCCTGGCTGGGGCTCATGTGGGAGGCAACCAATCTATGTGTCTCTCTCACATCAATGTTTCTCTCTAACTCTCCCCCTTCCTCCACTCTCTCTAAAAATCAATGGGAAAATATCGTCGGGTGAGGGTTCGCAAAAACAAACAAAAAAATAAATAGATAAAAATAAAATGATTTGGCAAATTTAAAAAAAATTTATTTCAGAGAGAGGGAGAGAGGAATAGAAACATCAATGATAAGAGAATTGTTGATTGGCTGCCTCCTGCCTGTCCTCTACTGGGATGGAGCTCACAACCACGGGCATGTGCCCTGACCGGGAATTTAACCATGACCTCCTGGTTCATTGATCTATGCTCAACAACTGAGCCACACTGGCCAGGCTGACCCTGTTTAAACTTTAAATGAGTGGCCCACTTTCAAAAATTAGGAGATGCCACATCAAAACTCCCCGCTTCTCTTGAAAATTGCCTGACTCGGTAATGTGGGGCCCACATGTCCCCATGGTAACAGCCGTGTGAACTGGTCCTGAGCTTTTTACAGAGCCTAGCACAAGAACGTTTGTTGCACTGTTAGCATCCCACTGTTTCAAGGAGGTCGGCATTTTTTGCCCAGGGTCACACAGTTTAGGTAGTGGAGGCGGGACTGGGTTCAGAATCTGGCCTGGCCCTTGGTTGGCACTGTATGTCCAACAAACACACAGGAAGCCCCCCAGGATGTGCTCTGCTCAGGGATGGTGGGGAGGACCAGACAATCCATGTGCAGGTCCCTCCTAATCCAAAGCAAGCTGTTCTGCTTGCTGCCCTTGACCCACTGAAAATCTGGGCAGCCATCTCTCCTCTGGGATTTGTCCCTGTGCTTCCTTCCTTCCAGCACTATTTACCTTGCCTCCCTCCAGCCCTTGTCTGGCCTGTACACTGCAAGTTAACTAGTGAAACTAAATCGAAGTACACTTAGATTTAGTGTGCTTAGATTTAGGTTAGTGTATTTAGATTTAGGTTCAATACGTTTTGCCCTTTTTAAAATCCATAAATATTTCAGTATATATTTTATAAAAGATGACTTTTATAAAATCATAACACTTCCATTATCACACCTTAATGTTATTAGACAACTGATCAATATTTAAATTTCCATAAACATCTCAAAACCTTTTTCATTTCACATCTTGTTTTAATCAGGATTTTTAAAAAAATGAAACTATATATATGAATATATATGAATATATATGAACTATATATATGAAGGGAGAGGGAGAGGGAGAGACAGATAGAAATATCAATGATGAGGGAGAATCATTAATCGGCTGCCTCCTGTATGCTCCCTACTGGGGATCAAGCCTGTAACCCGGGCATGAGCCCTGGACTGGAATCAAACCCAGGACCCTTCAGTCTGCAGGCTGATGCTCTATCACTGAACCAAACCAGCTAGGGCCCACCTTCTTCTTCTTCTTCTTTTTTAATTTATCTACTGATTCTAGAGAGGGGAAGGGAGAGAGAGAAACTGATTTGTTGCTCTACTTATTTATGAATTCATTGATTGATACTTGTATATGATCCCTGACCAGGGATCAAACCCACAACCTTGGTGTATAGGGGATGGTGCTCTAACCAACTGAGTCACCTGACCAGGGCTATTTTGATCAGGATTTAAGTAAGGTTTACCCACTGCAATTGGTTGCTATGTCTCTGACATTCTTTTTCATCTATATGTGCTCCTTCCACCTCTATTGCTTTTGTTTCCTTGCAATTTTATTTATGGAAGAAGCCGGTTCTCTGGTTCTTTTTATTTCACACAGTGTGGATTTTGCTGATTGCAAAGTCATTTTTTTTCTACCATGTTCTTCTCTCCTCTATATTTCCTATAAGTTGGTAGTGTGTCTCTAGAGCAGCCGTGGGCAAACTACGGCCTGCGGGCAGGATCTGGCCCGTTTGAAATGAATAAAACTAAAAAGAATAAAACTGAAAAAAAAAAAAAAGACCGTACCCTTTTATGTAATGATGTTTACTTTGAATTTATATTAGTTCACACAAACACTCCACCCATGCTTTTGTTCCGGCCCTCCGGTCCAGTTTAAGAACCCATTGTGGCCCTCGAGTCAAAAAGTTTGCCCACCCCTGCTCTAGAGTCTGGTTCAGGACTCAGACTATTTTTCAAGCGTACTTCATAGGCGTTGATGTGAATTTGTAGCAGGTGTCCTGCATGCGTAGTTGTCTCTTTGCCATAGCTGGTTTCTTGTTTAAATGTGTTAAGAGGAGTTAGGTCCCTGAATGTTCACTGGGCCCCAGGAGGTGGACTTGAGAAAGTGGGGGAAACAGTGTATTGTGCTTGCAGAGTTCTTGTTCTTTCCTTTCTTTTTTAAAACAGTAAACACCTTTATTACTGAGCTAAGATAGGAGGGAGGGGAATTTATTTGCCTTTCTGGGCCTTGATTTTCCTCAGCTAGAACTCCAGCCTGCGGCCCTCAGCACATAGCCACCTGCCTGACCACACCGGCCTGGTCTTGAAGCGAAGCAAACCAGGAGCTCGCCCTGCTGGAGCTGCTCCTCAGGAAACTGCTGCTTTTGGCATGCGTTTCCCTTTCATCCTCTTCCTTTTGCATTTTGTTTTTTGTTTAAAATCGCTTCCTCCTCAGGAGCCTAGAGCCTCACCCCCTTCTTGGGGCTCAGGTGCAGTGCATGGTGGGACTTGCACCACTGTCGGTATGGTCCGCTGTCAATGAGCATGAATGAGGCAGTTCTTCATCAGGATCTTGGTGTGGACCAGTTTGTTGCTGGATGCATTGTAGACAACATCAATAATCCTCACATGGTGTGTACAACACTTGGTGCCCTAGAAGTTGCCCGCGTCCAGCCTCAAGGCACAGTACTTCTTGCTGCCTCCCTGCATGTGGACTATGTGGGCAGGCGCCAGCTCATATTTTCCCTTCTTGTGGTAGGGCTTTCTCTTGTCCCCGGCCTTGCAGTGCTTAGGCCATTGTTCTGAGAGATGCCCATGGCTTGGGGCTGGCTGGAAAAGTCTTTTTTCTGTCCAATTCTGCCACCCAGGGCTGTGATACTCTCTTTCTCAATGGTCTGCTTCCTCCCCTGTTTACTGGTACATGAACCAGTGAGTTGGGTGTAGAGCAATGTGGTTATTTCAGCAGGCTCCTTCTTGCCTGTCTGCCACACTCTTAGTAAGGGGTCTGTCTTGACCTGAATTGTGCCGTTCAATCCATATGTTGAGGTCCTAATCCCCACCACCTCAGAATGTGACTGTACTTGGAGACAGCATCTTTAAAGAGGTGATTAAGTTCAAATAAGTCATTTAGGTGGAGGCTAATCCAATCTGACTGGTGCCCTTATATGAAGAGATCAGGACATTAAGACATACACAGAGGGAAGACCACTGAGGACACAGGAAGAAGACAGCATCTACAGGTCAAGGAGAGAGGCCTGGGGGAAACGGACCCTGCTGACACCTTGATTTTGGACTTCCAGCCTTCAGAACTATGAGAAAATATAATTTCTGTTGTTTGAGTCACCCAATCTTTGCTATTTGGTTGTGGCATCCCTAAACAATCCATAGCATCAGATAGTGACTGTTGTAAAATGCCCATCAACCTCTTATTTCATAGTTTTGTTTTAGCTTAAAAAAAAATCTTTATTGTTGAGAGCATTATAGATGTCCCTATTTTCCCCAGTGCCCTCTTCCACCTGGTTCCCACCCCACCCCAGGCCTTCACCACCCTATTGTCTGTGTCCATAAGTAATGCACATATGCAGATAAGATCTTTGGTTAATCTTTTTCCACCCCCTCACCCCCACTGCCCCGAGATTCTTGTCTGTTCCATGTTCCCAAGCCTCTGATTCTATTTAATCACCAGTTTATTTTGTTCATTAGACTTTTTGTTCATAGATATGTATTTATTGCATATATATATATATATATATATATATATATATATATATATATATATATATATAATCTTCTTCCTCTTCTTAAAGAATATCCACCCTTTAACATTTCATGTAATACTGGTTTGGTGGTGATGAACTCCTTTAGCTTTTTCTTATCTGTGAAGCTCTTTAACCTTCAATTCTAAATGATAGCTTTGCTGCCCTAGCTGGATTGGCTCAGTGGATAGAACGTTGGCCTATGGACTGAAGGATCCTGGGTTCGATTCCCATCAAGGGCACATGCCTGGGTTGTGGGCTCGATCCCCAGTAGGGGGTGTGCAGGAGGTAGCCAATGATTATCTCATCATTGATGTTTCTATGTCTCCCTCTCCCTTCCTCTATGAAATCAATAGATATAGAAATAAGAGGCCTGTAAAATTGTTTTGCCCTTGTCTATGGGGTGGAGGGCAATTGTGTAGCTCTAACAACTGACCCCTTTTCTCACACTCTAGATCAGCCGTGGGCAAACTACGACCCGCGGGCCGGATCCGGCCCGTTTGAAATGAATAAAACTAAAAAAAAAAAAAAAAAAGGACCGTACCCTTTTATGTAATGATGTTTACTTTGAATTTATATTAGTTCACACAAACACTCCATCCATGCTTTTGTTCCGGCCCTCCAGTCCAGTTTAAGAACCCATTGTGGCCCTCGAGTCAAAAAGTTTGCCCACCCCTGCTCTAGATCTTGACAAAAGTTCCAGAAAACTTTTTGGTAAGCACTGCTGTCATTGCAAGCCTATAGTGAGATGGCAGAGGCTGGAGGCTGATTCTTCCTCATCCCAGTACCAGCACAGGGCTAAGGGAGTGCAGTGCCTGCACAGCAAGCCCAGGGTGCTAATCTAACCTGCCCATGTGACCCTAGAGCAGTGGTTCTCAACCTTCTGGCCCTTTAAATACAGTTCCTCATGCTGTGACCCAACCATAAAATTATTTTCGTTGCTACTTCATACCTGTAATGTTGCTACTGTTATGAATTGTAAATATCTGATATGCAGGATGGTCTTAGGCGACCCCTGTGAAAGGGTTGTTAGACCTCCAAAGGGGTTGTGACCCACAGGTTAAGAACCACGGCCCTAGAGCAATAGCATCCCTCTTATGGCCCACTGTGCTACAAGGTGGGCTTTCTGGAGGCCATCAACTCCAACAGGGACTGGTTCCTAACAAATGTGGAACATCACAGGGTTGTGAATGGTCCCACCTAAAGGCAACACTTTTGCTGGCCTCTGCTTGGTGTTGCCACTTAAGTCTCTAGACCCAGGCAATCAGATTCAGAATGTGAGACCTGATAATTTTAAGTGTTAATTAATACTCAACCATAAATCCAAATGGAACACTCCTGCTACAGTGTGGGAGACAGTTCAAGTGGCCCCTTAACTTACTCTCCCATCTCCTGTCATCCTTGGGAGGCCATGGCCACCAAGCACTCAAACTGGCGCCATTCCCATAGACAGACTAGGTTTCCACCTCAATTCTCTAATGAGAGCACATGTAGCAAGGCCAGGCTGATTCCGGTGAGGCAGGCCGAATCCATGGGAACGCAAATCCCTGAGGATCATCCTGGGTGCTTTGCTACCCAAGTTCCCAGAGGGAAGAACAGGGTGCACCTACAGGGATATGGCCTTTTCCTCCCAAAACAAAATCAGAGGGTAGAGTCTTTGGATGGGGCTAGTACGCCCCCCTCCCACTCTCATTAGCCAAGCCTTGTTCCTTTACAAACATAACTGCGGCCAGCACACAGTTTTAGACAAAAAGCACTTTATTTAACAAAAAAGAAAAAAGAAAAAAATGGGGATGGGGGAAGAAAAGTTATAGGAAAGTACAACGTGCCTGCTGAAACTATTTTATATTTGTTTTCTTAAAAAAAAAAAAAAAAAAAACAAACCCAAAAAACACAACACAAAGCTTGTAATTTCCAATCACCATTATCAGGGTTTACAACATCTATAAAGAACAAACATCTGCTTCAAAATTCTATGGGGGCAGGTGGGAACAGAGAAAGAGAGACGGCACCCAGCAGACATGGGGAGGTTTTGTTATCATTTATTTGTGAAGTTAAAAACGAGCGATAAAAAGTAAAAACTGCCATACAATTTTTTTTTTTGTTTTGTTCTCAATTTGTTTTCATTTTCAATGTCCTCTTGAACAGATGAAACATGACAGACCAGTCCTGGGAGAAGGGACGCGGGAGGGGAGGGCTGCGAGAAGCAAGCTAGGGCAGAAGGAAGAGCGAGAGGAGCAGAGAGGCTGAGGGGCTTGACTGAGATAGGGCAGGGTATATGTGTGTGTGGGGGGGTTCCCTGCAATATCAACACCTGGTCCAAGGAATGTTCCAACTCTAACTAAAAAAAAAAAAAAAAAAAAAGCAAGAGTGACTTTTTTTCCTTTTTAAAAGTTTATTTTAAAAACATGAAGAGGGCAAGGGTGGCAGGGAGAAAATAAGTTTTCCTTGAAAGAAGCAATTTAGGGAAGACTGGGGGGTGGGATATAGAGATTTTTATATATATATATAATTTTATAGGTTTTGCTTCACTTATTGTGTTTCTTATTAAAAAAAAATTTTTTTTTTTGGCAGAGATTTAATTCTCTCTATCTTCTATGGCTGGCTCAACATGAAGGATCCCAGTTTTGAAAGAAAAAGAAAGGATGTGAGACACAGAATGGGCGAGAGAGTGAGAGCCAGGCATGACCTCCAAGCCACTCAGAGAGGGCTCCCCTGCACCCCACCCCCATGTCAGCCATCGCTCTCTCGCCTAACAAATGGAGGAAAAAAAAAAAAAAAAAAAAAGCAAAAACCAGAAAATAAGCCCCAAACAGAACAAATAATAAAAGAATTTTCACAGATGAAGAAGTTCACATTCATTCGATTCATTGAGCCTGCGGAGAGGGAAGAGATAGGAATTGGTCACTACGGGGAGGGGGAGGCAGAGGCGGAAGACTGGGGGATAGTAAGGAGGGGGCCAGGAAGCCCCTCTCCCACGCCAATGGCTAGCAGGATGTGTCTGTAACTGTCTAGTCAAGTGCTCCAGGGACTCAGCTGAAGTCAGACTGGCTCCTTGATGGAGGAGGAGAAAGAGCGACACAAAGGCAAGAAGGAGAGAAGCAGGGGCCGCGGGAGAAAGAGAAGCGAAGTCAGGGTCTGCAAGGGAGAAGGTGGTGGGTGGCTCCCGGCGCATCACAACATGAACAATCTGAGATCACGGTGTCCCCACAACACCCCTGTGAGGTAGGTTGGAACGTGGCAGCGATCATCATGCCCACTTCACAGACAAGACCGGGACACAGACACGGGCGTGACAGCAGAGGCTGAGCCCAAGGGGCCAAGCCCCTTTGCAGGCTTCCTGCATCCCTGCTGGAGCCAGGGCCACCCCACACTGGGGCTGCCTGCAAACAGTCACTTGGACACCGTCGGGGAGAAGACCATGGGTTTAAAAACAAAAAGAACAAAAGCCAAAAAAGTAATGCAGAGGGGAAAAAATATCCATTTTCTTCCCAAGTGGCCAGATTTTGAGTTAGCAGCCAGGATGGTGACCAAAGTGCAGTGCCCGGGCTGCCCCCACCCCCAGGACTACCCACCAGTTCAACAGTTCCACCTTTTATCTGTCTCGCACTCGCCCCCAGCATCACGACAGCATTACACAGGAACAAGCGAGCCGGCGGAGGGAGGCCTCTTCTTTAACCTCTGGACCCAGCGCACACTTCCCCTGGCTCATGGGGACTCCCGGAGACCTCCAGCCACACGGCCCCCGCTGCAGGCATCAAGGACACACCCCGCAGGGGAAGGGATTTCCGGCGCTACCCACTAAGGCAGGATGGACGGTGGCTGGGGGTTGGAAGGAAAAAGGAGGAGGAGGAGGGTGGCAATTCCCACTTGCCTGCTGCTGTCCCTGTTGTGTGGGTGGAGGCTGGGGGCCACCAGGACCTGGGGTCTGTCCGTAGTAAGCGGCTTGCTGTCGGTAGTATTCAGCCCAGGCGGCACTATAGTCCGGCTGGGAGCCTGGGGGAGCTCCTGGACCCCCTCCAGTGGCCACTTGAGCTGTCAGGGAGGAGAGGGTGAGTGTGGCTGGGCAAGAGTGGGGGCCTGGCCCTGCCTTGCCTCAGGCCCCACCAGTTCAGCCTGCTTTAAAAAAAAATTATGTTGAAGTACAACCATGTTATATTAGTTTCAAGTGTATAAGTGATTCACCATATAAATTCCTTAGGATGTGATCATCATACTAAGTCATTGTACAAATTCATAATGACTTACGTTCCCTATACTGTACTTACACCCTCTATTTTTTTGTATAACTCACCTTGCTTCTTGTAGTACTCCTCCCAGGCCTTTGTGTAGTCCTGCTGTGGGGGAGCTCCAGGCTGCTGGGGCTGCTGGCCTGCAGGAGGCGGGCACCAAGGTCAGACGACAGCAAGGGGACACAGCTGCCCTCTTCTGCCCTTCTGGCTGATTTGAGCCCATGCAGCAACCCGCACACTCACCAATCTTTTTGTAATACTCTTCCCAGGCCTTAGTGTAGTCTGACTGGCCAGCAGGTGGGGGCTGAGGGGGCTCGCCCTGGGCAGGTGGAGCTGCGGGTGCAGGTGCGGGGCCGGGCACGGGGCCTGGAGGCTGCTGGTAGTAGTGTGAGTAGTAGGCAGCCCAGGCTGCGTTGGGGTCTGCGGCGGCTGCAGCGGCTTTATCTGCAAGAGGAGGGCAGTGCAGGCTGAGAGCTGACACAGAAGCCAATCCTGGGCCCAAACCCTGTGCTGCCCCTCAAATGGGTAGCCTTACTTACTCGGGTCATGAGGAGCAGGTGGTTGCCACTGGGGGTAGGTATTGCCCCAGCCCTGGGGTGGGTACTGGTGAGGAGGGGGACCCCCAGCACTGTAGGATGAGAAAGATGGGGAACACATGAGCGGAGGTTGCTCCTTTGCAGGGTAGAGATGGCTAGTAGGAAGAAGGCCCAAGGAAAGATGTGAGACAACTAAATGCATAAGACCCAGGCTATGAAACAAAGTACCCCAAAATCAACATGCAGATTTGTGCATGGGGTGGAGACCAAGGTCAACACCTATTGCATCTTATAAAAGATGGTGTCTGTGAAACAAAGCTGGAATGGATTGTTTGGGCCCGAACAATCATTGCTTCTGAAAGATGAGGATGGACCTCTTGGTGGTAAATGGAAACGGGGCCTGTCGCTTTTCTTGCCAGCATATTGACACCCATGTCACAAATCCCAGGCAGCTGAAGAGTACTCACTGAGGGGGAGCCCCTGGTGGCCCCTGATTGAAGGGCCCAGGATTGAAGGGTCCCATGGGGCCGGCAGGGCCTGGTCCTCCTGGGCCTGGTCCAACTGGACAGAGGGGACCCTGGAAGGAGAATGTGACAAGGTCAGTGGTGGGTGTCAGGAGTCAGGAGCCGGACTCCCAGAGCCCTCCATGAGCCCACCTCAATCTTCTCCTCGATGAGCTGCTTGGCATGATCAATCTGCTGGGGCGAGCCCCGGATAATAAACAGTTTAAAGTTGGGGTCCCCGTTGGGCGGCAATTGCCGGGAGATCTCTACAAAGGCGCCCGTCTGCTGGTTTATGGCTTTCACGTTCTCACCACCTGCAGGGGACACAGGCAGTGAAGGGAGGGAGGGAGGAATAAGTGGGTGAGGGACGAAGGGCAGGGAGAGGCCTCCTCACCTCGGCCGATGACTAGCCCACACTTGTGAGTGGGGATGGAGAAGGTCATCTCCCCACCAGGCGGGCCCCAGTTGCCTTGGCCCCTTCCTCGGCCACGGCCCCCTGGGGGCATGCCAGGGCCCCCTGGAGGACCTGGGGGACCACTCTGCAAGACAGGGAGATGGAGAATAAATGTAGGAAGCCAGGCACATTACTCTGCCCCCACCAGCTCTTCTCACCTACCCCATGCCACCTACCCTAAGGCTCTGGAGGAGGTCATTGATAATCCTCGCCGCATGCTCGCACCGGTCTGGGGGCCCCATTATGTGAGCTATCTTCTCAGGACCTGTCCCATCATCTGAGGCCAGCATCCAGAGAGCGGAGACACGGATTTAAAAGAGAAGCACAACTCCAAACCACCACACCTCCTCAGGGCAGTACTGTGCCAAGCTAGGTGTCTGAGACATCTCAGACTCAGTGCCGCTCGCCTCACTCCACGTACTCAGGAGTGAGGAAGGAGGCAGGCAGGCCCCATGTCCCCAGAGAAGAAAACTGACCAGCTGGGCAGGGAGGTAGCTGAGGCTTTTTTCTGCAATTAGAACCCCCAGAACTAACAGATGCATTTTATAGAACTAAGAACAACAAATCTCTGAAAAGCAGGAAAGGGGTCCCTCCTCCCCACAGACCTGCCCTCAGACTCTCACAGGCTTGGCAGGAGCCCAGAGTTGGGTCAGTGATTTGATCCAGCCCAGTGCCCAAGTTACCCAGGCTGCCTAGTTGAGACAGGCTACTGGTGGGGGAGAGGGAAGAGATAGATTCAACAGGAGAGGAAAACACAGAAAGTGTGCCCATCACCAACTCTCTCACGGGGCTGTCCCACAGAGGAGAAAGACAAGATCCAACAGTAAAGAGGCACAGCATGCTAACCATGGTGCCAAGCTGCCCACAGTGGACACTCAGGTTGATCTTAAGAGGACAGCACTGGCTTACACATCACACGACTTGGCCCTGACCTTGTTTAAACTGGATCCGCACACCAGCATCATTCTGGATCTTCTTAATCATCTCTCCGCTCCGGCCAATAACCACGCCAACAGAATGCCTAGGCACTGGCACCTGAGGGAGACGCAGAGAGAGGGTCAGCTGAGTTCTGTCCCCATAGCTTTGCTGCCCACTGGACACAAGGAGCCTCTCATCCCCCGCATAGCCCTCCATCTTCTGGGGGAAGCCCACACTCACATCAATTCCCCCGCCAATCCGGGATCCATACTCATTCCGGTCCCCAAAGCTGCCCTGGTCACGCTCCCGAAGGATGTCCATCACCATCTCACAGGCTTGCTGAAAAGACACAGGGCATGGTGCACATGGCAAGCCCTGCTGCCCCACTGCACCCCCAGCCTCCCATAAACCAAGGGGTCCCAGGCTTAAGCTAAGGACTGACACAGGTGCCGAGCTCTATATTTGCCACCCTGAGAGGCAGGCATGGCCAGCAACTCCACTTTCCACATGAGAAGATGGAGGATCAGTTAGGCCACTTGCTCATATACAAACCATTGTTGAAGGGAGAATTCAACACAAGAACATGAACCTTGGGATGACTTCAAAGCCAGTGCTTTTGAAAACCTTTCCACTTTTATTCAAATCTCCAGGCAGCCCACCAGCTCTCCCTTCTCTAAAACCCACTATTCACCATCACTGCAGGGCACACTCACCTGCACTTTGTAAGGATCTCCAATGATCCGAAGGGGCTTGTCAACATTTGTATTCTGGGAACCATCTTGAATTAAAATCATCTTTACTCCAGCACGTTCCTTTAAAACCAATGTCGACTGTCAGTGTAGGACTTTCAAATAACTTTCTGGCGACTAGTGCATTTGGGGCAGGGTCCATGATCAAAAAGGATAGAAGACTGGGAAAGCAGCTGGGGGTGGTGGTGGTGTGCAGACCAGATACAGGATGGAAACTTTCTTGGGATGGATGGAACCTTCTGTCTCCACTCCCTCACCTGTAGCTGTTTAATGGTCTCCCCGCCTTTCCCGATGACAAGGCCAGCCTTCCCCGCAGGGATCATAATCTCCTGCACTGTGCCATTCTGGCCCCCGTTGGAGTTGTCATGGAACTGTCCTGGGGGGCCCCCACGACCCCGAGAGACGATGTCATCCAGCATCATCTTTGCTTTCCTGGGAAGGGGAAGAATGGGGTGCTGTCACTTGAGAGTACTGGCCTGGTGACCCCCCCTCCCCAAAGCTCAAAGCAAAGAAGGTGACTCCCAACACATGCGTTTGACAGATGATGAGGAAGAGAGTACTACGGTCCCTGGGGCTTGGCTGCAAGGACATGGTGTGGGAGTCACCCCCAATTTTCAAAGGGATCAAGAGGACTTCTGCCCACTCCCATCACAATGACAGGCCCAGCTAGGCACTTACTGGACAGATTCTGGGGCTCCTGTCAAGGACACACTGCGCTCAGGGAGGCCACCACTGTCTGGAGAGAAGAGGAGATAGGGTCAGTGCCTTTCCAGGCCTGCAGACCCTGGAAAGGCTTTTAGTGGAGATGAGGAAACTTCCAGAACAATCACCAGCCACTTTTGCCACCATTCAGCAGCCTGACAAATCAATTTACCTCCCCAAACACCTGGGAGGGTCCCCTATGCAAAGCCAAGGTCAGGAAGCTTAAAGTCCAATAAGGGAGACAGAACTTTTAGGGGAAAAGATGAGGTAGGAGAGGCAGATTCTGGAAGGTCCAAACCCTGGACCATTTTTGCCACCACTAATGATCACATGCACACCCTCTAGTTAACAAACTCCACTCTGCTGGAACAAGGCCTCAGAAGCAGACTCCTACAGAGGAGCAGGCAGAATTGGGATTCAAACCCAGGCCCACTCTCAAAACTTTTCTTTCTAATGCACCTTCCTGCCTCCCATATTCCTGTCTGGTTTCCACTAGATGTTTAGGTGGCAACTTAACATAATGGTTCACAGCAGACCTGGAATGAGGCAACCTGTGTTCAATTCTAGATCTTCCCCTTCAGTTCTCCCCCCACCCATAAAATGGAAACAAAAGTCAGAGCTACATCCGTGGTGCTGTACACTGGAGATACTACACTGAGCCTGGCACACAGAAGGCACTCAATAAATAAAACAAACAAATATGTTTCATGTCTAACGGTCAAGTTAAAAGTGAGAGGAATACTCAAGTGCAAAGAGCCCAGCCCCTGCATTCATTCTGGCGCAAAACTGGCTCACTCATACCTGGAGAGATCTGGACTTTGCAGCCTGAATCTTGCTGGATTTTATTAATCTGTTCACCTCCTCTGCCAATGACTAGGTGGTGAAGAAAGGAGAAAAGTGAGTTACTTTAAAATGGAATACAAAAGAAAAAAAAAGCAGAGCTGACGGAAGGGGCCAGCACCAAGTAAACGAGGCGATGGTGGGGCCACATGAATATTCAAAGGAGACGATGACCGCTCTTCCAGTCCAGAAAGAACAGGTTAACAGGGGAAGCCCTTTCAGACCAGAGGCTTCTGGGTTGGCAGGGCTTCCAGGACACTGTCCCAGGGCGGGGCTGTGGATATAATGGACACCCCAGAGCACGGTGACCCACACTCACTTAGTCCTACCATGCCATCTGGGACCCTGTACTCCTCTGTCATTGAAGTCCTGCAAAGAGACAATGAAGGTCAGTCTCAAATGGGAAAGCAAAGGATCTGCCAGAGAAAAGGGCCCCCAATGTTTCTGGCCTCTGACCCTGCTCCCTATGATGGGACCAAGACCTCACAAGCCTATGCAAAATCTAGCAGCATGAGGCTGGGGATCTCTTGTCCCACAGCAGGTCACTCCATTTCTTGAGGCCAAGTTTCCCCGCGCGGGCCATGAAAGGCCTGTTTGTTTTTTTTTTAATATATTTTATTGATTTTTCACAGAGAGGAAGGGAGAGATAGAAACTTAGAAACATCGATGAGAGAGAAACATCGATCAGCTGCCTCCTGCACATCTCCTACTGGGGATGTGCCCGCAACCAAGGTACATGCCCTTGACCGGAATCGAACCCGGGACCCTTCAGTCCGCAGGCCGACGCTCTATCCACTGAGCCAAACCGGTTTCGGCTTGAAAGGCCTGTTCTGAGGCAGTGTGGCCCCTGGACCAGTGCTGTCCCTAACTCAGGGGGAGAATGAGCACCTGGACACTTTTATAGCAATCTGATAAAGTCAATTTATAACCACTGACTTTAAAAACAAACAAAAAAAGGAATAATTTTGCACCTTTTAAATTTCATTTTCCAAGCAAATCATTTTTTTAAATTAAATATATCTTTATTAATTTCAGAGAGAAAGGAAGAGGGAGAGAGACAGAAACATCAATGATGAGAGAGAATCACAGATCGGCCACCTCCTGGCACGCCCCCTACTGGGGATCGAGCCCACAACTCAGGCATGTGCCCTTGACCGGAATCGAAACCGGGACCCTTCAGTCCCCAGGCCGATGCTCTATCCACTGAGCCAAACCAGCTAGGGACCTAGCAAATCATTTTTATTGTATTTTACAAAAATGTTGGCCCATTAAAAAAATAAAAGAAACAATGTGGTCCTTCACAAAGGATTCTATGTCAGATTCATTGAAGTCATGGGGTGGGTGGGGGAGGAAATAAGGTAGGCTCCATCCGCTCTCAGGGAACAAGCATTTGCAGAGGATGGGCGAGAAAACCAGCCTTTTCGAGGAAGACAGATGTGTGTGCTTCTGGAGAGTCCCCACCCCAACAAAGGAAGCACCATGGTGCAGAAATCACCATTCTGTCATTACAGGGAAATGCCACAACCCTGTCCTACCTCCAGCCTTGAAGACAGGTAAGTACAGGGATAAAGGCAGCACCTTCTACCCCTGAGTCCACTCTTTGGTGGACCATCCTGAAATGGTGCAGGGCTCCCAGACAGAGTTCTCCCTCAAGACAGTAAGAAAGGCCAGAGACAGCTGACAGACAAGCGACATTTTCTCCAAATCACAACTTACCTGGGGGGAGGGTGGATGGGTCCAAGTTGAGAACTGATGGCTACAGAGAGAAAATCCAAAGGAAAGATTGGCGTGGTTTCTCTCTGGAACCCAGAACACTACTGACCCCAGGTGCTCCTACCTACACAGGAGCGACTAACACTATTACAGTCTAAGCCAGTGGTTCTCAACCTTCCTAACGCCATGACCCTTTAATACAGTTCCTCATGTTGTGGTGACCCCAACCATAAAATTATTTTTGTTGCTACTTCATAACTGTAATTTTGCTACTGTTATGAATCGTAATGTAAATATCTGATATGTAGGATGCATTTTCATTGTTACAAATTGGACATAATTAAAGCATAGTGATTAATCACAAAAACAATATGTAATTATATGTGTTTTCCGATGGTCTTAGGTGACCAATGTGAAAGGGTCATTCGACCCCCAAAGGGGTCGTGACCCACAGGTTGAGAACCGCTGGTCTAAGCCCTCCTGAGCACTGGAGCATAGTGGACCCTGCTCACAACAGCACAGGCACTGGGTATTTCCGCCTCAATTTCCGGGGGCTATAGGAACCCCAAAGATCACGAAGCCCAGATGATGAACACCTAGAGCCTCCATAAAGGACAGGTGCGCAGTGCTCCCAACTCCAAACAACCTCCTAAGATCCTGAAGTTGCCCTCTGCCTGCATTACCCAACAGACTTACAGTCTCCCTGAGAGGCCAGTTTCTTGCTCTCCGGTTGGTCTGTGAAAGAGAGAGGATGTCAGATGCAGCACCCACCCACCCACAGCCTCCTTAAATCTGATACTGGTGCCACACTTCCTGGCAAACTATCCCCTCTTCTGCTACCCCCCCAAAATCAGAGCAGAGACAGGAAAGACCAACCCCTAAGTGAGGCCAGACTTCATCAACCGGCACTAAGGGTAAAAAAGCCCTTTATAACAGGGAGACAATGATAGTGGCATCTGAGTCCTTCTAGCTCAGGATGAGACCTGCCTTGGGCACCCGGGGTTCTGGTTGGAAGAAGTTGCTGGCCACCCAAACTTTACTCATGTGGGGCCTCAATAACAGTACCAGCATTTCTCCAGCCTACCAGAAGGGGAGAAACAATCTTGAGGACTTACAACTTGGACCCAGCCACAGTCAATCTGCTCTCCTCTCAGCCACCTGATACCTCAGGATGGTGGCCCAACAAAAAGAATGAACAAAGCTGGGATTGCTGAGGTTTTAAAAGACTGAACAGCAGCAGGCTGCCCTCCCCCCACTCTGAACCACATTCAAACAAAGGCACCTCACTCTCTATCCTCCTTCCCAGCAAGTAGTTACCTCCATCTTCCAACTGCCTCTTTTGGCCCCCAAAACCGAAGTCAGGAGTGCTGTTATTCACTGTTGTAGCAGCATCGCCTCCAATTTTGGCTGCGATCTAGAAATGAAGTTGTAAGCAGAGAAGAATTAGCACCAAAAAGCAACCTCCATGGGGCTCAGATCAACTTCTCGGAATCTCTCCTGTTCTCTTTGCTGTTCCGACTGAGAGTCAGGTTCCCCCTAATTTAGGGAAGAACTTGATGGTTAAGACATTCTAGAAGGAATTTCCACCTGAGGTCTCAGAGTTCAACAGTTAACTCCCTTTCTTGATGGGATTTGGTCCCAAATGGTTTGTGGCCAGACTGTAACCCACACTAACTTGGGGTAAAAGGAACGGAAGCTCAGTGCCACTGAGGGTCCTCAGCCAGGTTCTTCTGGGATGCTGAAGAGCATCATCTCCCTCACCCTCAGAGCCTTAGCCATTGTGAAACAAATCTCAGGGCAGTTTTTGCTTCAAAGCATCTGAAATCTTCATTTGAGGAAAATAAAAGACGCTTCTGGAGCACATGTTACAATTTAGCCACACGAAGAGCAACTTCAAATAAACCCCCATCCAACAAACCTAACACCAGAGTCTGTTTGTGCAAGTATTACAAGTTTCCCAAAGAAACACAAACCCAAAACTAAGTATCTATCCTTTCACTTCTCAACTATTTAACACTTGGAGCCAAAGCTCTTGGGCTGTCCAGATGGGGCACCCAGCACCAACTCCCCCAGGTACAGCTGCTCAATCAAGACAGCTCAGTGGGCAAGCAGACATAAGCGCACATTAAAACATCCCAAGGCAGGGAGAAAGCCTCGGGCACACTGGGCGGGGCCGGGCGGCCGCCTAACGGGACCTCCTACCCTGCCCTGGAGGCACTGGGAGTACCCGGGGTTGGGGTCTGGCTCCCGGAAAGGGCGGCCAAGTCCTCCCATTCTATGAGCCTCCTCCCCGCCAGGCTCTGGGGAGGTTGGTCCCACCAGCATGTGTCACCTCCATGTTGTCATCAAGACTCAAAACACGGGTAGGGATCCTCCTCTCTTCATCAAAAAGATAGAAGACCACGCTTTCAAGCAGCCGGAAGCATCAAAAAGAGCCAGCTCCTATGCCCACCCTCCCCGTTTCACTGAAGTGCTTGGCCGCTCGGGCAGCAAAAGGGTCCCCTTTCCGAACTCAAGAGGAAGGACTTCTTTTCCCCAAAGTCCCTTCTTCCTGGGGAGCGGGCTGAAACGGGGCTGGGATGAGGGCAAGCAGTTCTGTGCCCTGACGGGGAGGTGGGGGCCAAGTAAGACCAACCCGGGAAGGCGGACCCCTTCCTTCCAGAACAGCGGAGCATGCTTTCGCGTACCCTAAGGCGAGGCAGAGGTACCCCCGGCACTCGGGGGCCCCTGCACACCCAGGGACCGCTTTTGGGAATCCCCCGGACGCCCCTTCCCCCTGCAAGGGTCACCCGTGGGGGACCCCACTCGAGGCGCGCGGGGCGGCCCAGGCCCCAGCCTACTGCTCCACGTGACCCCGCGGGGGCCACGGCGCCCCCTTACTCGCGACCCCGTGCGCGCGCGCACGTGACCCCGCCCCCTCCCCCGCCCGAGCGCGCGCCCCTCAGGCCCGCGGCCTCCTCACCTGGCGGGCCCGCTGCACGGCGTCGGCGAAGGCGTCCTTGCGAATTCCCGGGCCGCCCCCGCCTGGGGGCTGCGAAGGGCCGCCGGCCGACCCTCCGCCCGGGCCCCCGCCGCCTCGGTCCCCTGCGCCTGGCGGGCCCTGTGGAGGGCCTCCCCCGGCGCCCCCGGACCCCCCGCCCCCGCCGGCGGTCGGCGGCGGCCCGGGCGGGGGTCCTCCCGTGCTGTAGTCCGACATGGCGCGGCGGGGCCGGGCCTGGCGCGGCTGCTGAAGCTGAGGAGGTGGAGGCGGCGGCAGCAGCAGCGGCGGCGGCTCAACGCGGGAACAAGGCCTCGCTCCACACGGCCGCGGAGCACTCTGGGAACCCAGCGGCTGGGAAGACGATGGTGGGGGGGAGGGACGCCCCCCCTCCCGCCGCCGTGACGGACGGCAGGACCGGGCCAATAGGAAGCAGCCGCCGCTCCCCAGACACCAATCAAGGGCTCTGTGGTCAAGCGACCAATCGGAGTGCTGCGGAAGGCACTGGGTAGTAGGCGCTGTGTGACTGACAGCTCTCTGAGGCAATGCGCTGCTGGCTGCCAGCGCTAGGTTGGCCCAATGAAGCGGAGTTCCAGAATCGCGGGGCGGCTTCAGAACCTATTGACCGCTTGGAAGAGTCAAGCGTACGGGAAGGAGGAGCCTAGCAAATGGCTCCTTTGAACACAAGCCAATGAGTGCACGCGGAAGGCGGTTCTTGTAAAGATTGGCAGTCAATTTAATCCAATCCCTTACGAGTTCTGGATGATGCGCTTGGGTTTGGATTGGCTTTTCATGTTAACCATAATCCTTTTCCAGCCTTGACTTCTAAGCCAATGGCTGAGAGACGGGGGCAGGTGTTAGGTGACTGACACCGGTCTAGACAAATGGCAATGAAGTAAAGGTGCCCAGTATTAGTGGGAACCAGTGGAATCGCATCTGCATTGGGGCGGAGCCTGCTACCAGACGGCGAGAGAGGATTAGTGGAAGGGGAAATGAGTGGCAGCGTACATACGCAATAGCGACTGGCTGCCAGAATTCGGGCCTGACGTCAGGGCTAGCGTCCCGGAGCCTGGCTGGGTAGGCCAGGCACGTGGTTTGCTTGAGGCCTTGGAGCTCGGGTGCTCTCTGGAGTTGAAGTGGCCTGAGAGCAGGAGGAAACCCAGGGATTCCCCTCTAACCCCTTTTCCTTTCTCCACCCATGGCTCTAGGAGCCCCTTTCTTCCAGGATTTATGGAACCAGCTCCACTCCCGAGCTAATGGGTTTTGGGCCATGGTTCCCTCCCAGCACTGAGGGATACCAGACCCTAATTCCACACCCCACACCTGCTTCACACTAGGTACCGGGACCCAAGCTTCACTGGACGCAGGCAGCATCCATCCTTCCCATTCAGGACCCAGAGGTCCGAGGTACTCAGCCCCGCTCCGGGACCCACGGAGTGCAGATACTCAGCTCCTCTCTTGGACCCAAGTATCCAGGTCCCCAGCTCCCCTCCTCAATCCAGATATCCCAGACATGTTTAGCAGAAACCATCACTTTATTCCTGGTTTGACTCCATGTTCACCAATTTGCCCTGGAACCAGGACAGACTACTACGAGCCAAACTGGAGTCCATAGTAGTTTCAGGCTGCATCTGGAGAACATCTTCTGACCCAGACCCCCAGTCTGCTTTTCCTGAAAAAAAACTTCCCTGTGGCCTGAGCCTGGGGGGCTCTTTGGGGCCAGGGGACATTGAATCCTCTGCCCATTTCTGCCCAGGGTGTGTGGCTTAGCTCATTGTCTATACACCCAGGGTCTTCTTCATGGCTTCATACACCACATAGCTGATGCCACCAGCCGGCGGCACCTTCAGTAATGTGGGAGTCATGCCTCGGTATAGCCCTGGCCAGCCCTGCTGGGCCAGGATCCGCTGGAAGACTCCACACATGGTGGGGTTCGGACCCTCCACAGTGTCTGCAGGGACAGGAACAAGCTCAGCGTCTCAGAGATAAGCTGGCCTCCCGGGGCGGGAGTGTGTGTGTGTGTGTGTGTGTGGGGGGGGGTGCTGGAATGTTACGGGATGAGGAGTGGAGCCAGGGGCAGTGGTTTGGGGGGGGGGGGTCAGTTAGAAAGAAGACTTTTAGAGAAAATCAGTTGGTTTGGGAGAGCAATTGGGCAGGAATTTTCAGATTTCCTTTTTGGGAACATCTTTAAAAACATTCAAGCCGCCGAAACCGGTTTGGCTCAGTGGATAGAGCGTCGGCCTGCGGACTGAAAGGTCCCAGGTTCGATTCCGGTCAAGGGCATGTACCTGGGTTGCGGGCACATCCCCAGTGGAGGATGTGCAGGAGGCAGCTGATCGATGTTTCTCTCTCACCGATGTTTCTAACTCTCTATCTCTCTCCCTTCCTCTCTGTAAAAAATCAATAAAATATATTTAAAAAAAAAAAACAAAAAACATTCAAGCCTATTTGGGAGGTAACTTCTAAGATCTAGAGATTTTGGGGAGTGTGCTCAGGAATAGTTTGGGGACATTTTCAAGGTGAAGGGGGTTGGCTAAGGACCCACTTGGATGTTTGAGGTTGTTTGAGAGTCCATTTGAGAGAGTCACATTTGGGGAGTTTCCAGGGTTGTGGGGGAGTGGTTATGAATTTTGGGACATCTAAGGGTCAGATTTGGCAAATTTAGGAACCATTTTGACTTTTGGAGCCAATTGAGGACTGGATCTGACTTGGAGAAGTTAGGAGGTCATTTGGGGGATATTATGTCTTGAGGTCAGAATGGGGGCCTGGGTCACATTTCGGGGGGGTTGTGATAATCATTTGGAAGATGGATGTTCATTTCAGTGATCTGTAGTATTAATTTGAGGGCTGGGATCAGATTTGGAGATGAATGTAAAGTCTTGGTGGCTTAGGGGGTCAGTGAAGTTGGCCAAGATCAGATGTGGGAGTTTGGGTATGAGAAATTCAGAGGGTTGGTGGAGGGCCAAGCAGGGAGAGCCATACACGGTGGCCACTAGGGCCAGGCTGACCTTGAGCCTGCATCCTGGTGCGCACCAAAGTCAGTGGGTAACTGGCCATCTGACCACAGGTTGTGGACAGCGTCACTGACAACAGACTGACCAGGCCACTAGGGTCCGCCATGTCTCTGCCTGACTTCAGCCAGAAGCCTCTGAGTATCTGCAAGAGAAAGGGGGACAGGAGGAAGCTTGCTAGGGCCTGGGTTCATCCCTGCCACCCCGTCTGAGGGACCCATACCTCACAGACAGCCAGGTCGGTACAGGCATAAGGGATGATGCCGAGCATGTTGGGCAGGTAGCCACGGTAAAGGGCGCGGGTGCCCTCCTGCTCCAGGATCTGCTTGGCACAATCTAGCAACCCCTTGTATTGGCCTGTTCGGTGCAGGGTCAGTCGTGTCTTCAGCACCTGGGGAGGGTGAGGAGTAAGGCAGCTCATTTGATTTAATCCTCTCAGTGACCCTCAGCAGTGGCCATTGTCCCCATCTACAAATGAGGAAACTACTCAGGAATGTGCAAAGCTAGGTGTCAAATCCAGAGCTCCCTGTCCCATTCCTTGGCCTGTGTTTGCTCTCAACCCTGGGTTCAGAAGTTCAAGTGCTGACAGAGGCCAAGAGGGGAAGGGAAGTGACATGAGCCAAGTGGGGTATGTGGCAGCTTGCATTTAGCACCAGCCAAACATAGCGCCATGGGAGTGCAGGCTCCATCCAGGTGGCCAGATCTGCCAATTTTCTGAAAGAGCCAGAAATAGGAATTTTTATGAAATGCTCCAACATCAAAATATTGGCAACTCTACAATTTCACAAAAAAATAAAACACAAAGTGTGGTAGGCAAAATTCTAAGGTGGTCCTCAAGATTCGTGCTTCCCCTGTGTACTCCCCCACCTTGAATGTGGGCTAGACCTGTGAACTCAATGAGATGGCACTCCCCTGATCATGTTACATGGTAATGACAAAGGTAACCGGATTTTGCAGATGTAATAAAGGCCTCTAAGCAGTTGACTTTAAATGAATCAGGAAAAATTGTCCTGGATGGGCCTGACCTAATCAGGCAAGTCCTTTAAAGAGGTCTATTACCAGAGGTAGAAGTAGAAAAACTGGAAGCATCAGAGACACTCTCTGTTGGTCTGAAACAGCAAACTGTTACAGAGAGGACCACATGGTTGGCTTCTAGGAGCTGAAGACATCAGTCCTACAACCTTAAGCAACTGAATCCTGCCAACAACCAGGAAGCTTGGCAGAAGGGCCTCAGATAAGTTCGTTGGTAGCCAGCTGACACCTTGATTTCCACCAGATAAAACCCTGCACAGATCACCTCACTAGCCAGTGCCCAGGCATGAACCACAGAATCAATGAAATCTTTAAAAATCTGTAATTTTGCCCTAGCCAGTTTGGCTCAGTGGATAGAACGTCGGCCTGCAGACTGAAGGGTCCCAGGTTCGATTCTGGCCAAGGGAATGTACCTTGTTTATGGGCACGTCTCCAGTAATGGGTGTGCAGAAGGCAGCTGGTTGATGTTTCTCTCTCATTGATGTTTCTAACTTTCTATCCCTTTCCCTTCCTCTCTGTAAAAAATCAATAAAATATATTTAAAATAAAAATAAAAATCTGTAATTTTAGCCATGGATGGTGTGACTCAGTGGTTAGAGTGTCCACCCTCACACCAAAGGGTCACAGATTTTTTTTTTTTTTTGCTTTAAGTCAGAGAAAGATTTATTATCAGGTCACAGATTTGATTCTCAGTCAAGTGCATATACCTGGGTCGCAGGTTTGATCCCCATCCCTGGTTAGGGCACATGTGGGAGGCAGACAACCAATCAATATGTCTCTCTCACACTGATGCTTCTCTCTCTCTTTTTCTCTCTCTTCCACTCTCTCTAAAAATCAGTGGAAAAATATCCTGGGGTAAGGATTATTTTAAGCTAATTTAGTCTGTGGTAATTTGTTACACAGCCAGTGAAAACGAATACACTTTGTTTTTGTTTTTGTTTTAAATTAAATCTTTATTGTTCAGATTATTACATTTGTTCCTCTTTTTCCCCCCCATAACTCCCCTCCTCCCAGTTCCCACCCCACCCTCCGCCCTCACTCCCCACCCACTGTCCTCATCCATAGGTGCACGATTTTTGTCCAGTCTCTTCCTGCATCTCCCACACCCCTTTCCCCCGCAAGAATAGTCAGTCCATTCCCTTTCTATGTCCCTGATTCTATTATGATCACCAGATTATTTATTCACTTGATTCTTAGATTCACTTGTTGATAGATGCATGTTTGTTGTTCATAATTTGTATCTTTACCTTTTTCTTCTTCTTCCTCTTCTTAAAGGATACCTTTCAGCATTTCATATAATACTGG